TGAGGGCCGCCTTGCTGAAAAACATACACCAATGCGATTTTATGATGTGAACAGACGTTCAGCAATGGCCATGCGGATGATTGGCAAGGGAAGAGAAGCACTGAGGATGTTCTGTGCCATCATGGATATGCCTGAGCCCATGTACGGACGGTCGTTCCAGTCTCACTGTTCAGCATTGCATGATGCAGCAGTTGAAGTTGGGACAAATAGCATGCGGCACCATGCTGCAGAGTTACTGGCTATGCGGCAAGCGAGTGGATCTGACCATCCGTCACACGTGGCGTAAGCACTGACGGCACATGGATGCGGCGTGGGTACTCTTCTGTGTTTGGTGTCCAAACAGGAATTGCGTACGACACACTCAAGGTGGTGGATGTGGAGGTGTTATCGAAGCATTGCAACCATTGCAAGGTTTGGGACAACAAACGCGACACGAAGACAGTCACGGCAGCGGAGTTTGCCACCTGGAAGGCTGCACATGCTGACAGCTGCGACATCAACACCAATGTCTCAACACCAGCCATGGAGACTGCAGCAGTAGTGAAGATTTGGAATCGATCTGAGGCTCTCAATGGCCTTCGCTACACATCCTACATTGGCGATGGTGATTCGAAGGGATTTCAAAAAGGGTTATGCAGACAAGGCCAAAGAGACGGAAGGCGTTACGTACTGTCCTGGTGGGTTTTGAGTGCTAAAAGTTGCCCTTTTTGGGGGGTACCGTGTGACCTTTGGTACACCATATCTCCAGTTTGGTATGTCCAAATCCAGTAAACTATATATGTATTCATATCTACGTCAAATTTGCAAGGTGCTCACGTCTCTACTTTTGAAGATTTTGTCACATCTACTGACGTATGGGCACAGAAAGATAATTGGACCAACGGCGCGTTCTTTACGTGATTTCTTTATGTGTGTGTCAGCCAGATTCTTTACATCTAGAAGCATAAATCTCTTCGTGAGCATCTAGTACTGAGCAAGAACACTCATTATGTAACATAAGTATCTGGCTATTGCTAAAATCCTTGCAGAAAACTTGTACCAAAAATTTGTTGACCGCATTTTTGCGATATTCTTGTTTGGTGTGTCCAGCATCCTGTTCTCCAAGTCAAAATGCATGTGTGGTGGTTGTTCAAGTGTTCTTTATTATCTGACCAGCATGTGTAGAAAATTTGGTGCAAAAATAATGAGGGATGCCAATATTACAGACATTTGAATGCATGTATGTTATCGGCAGGCGCCGAAGGTAGCCTGCCACCTTAAAAAGAATGCACACGTGACATGTAGGACTCGTACGTACAATCGATTAATCATGGACGTAGATGTACTCGTACAAAAACTACAGGCGTAGATCTACCATCGCGTAACCAGTCACAGTGCCAGTGGTGCATGCAGCCTCTTTTAAAAAATTTACGGGCAAAAGCCGTGATGAGAAACCAGGGCCGGGGTATGATAGGAAGATGATGATTAAAGGGGAAGTCCGGTGAAAAATTTAAATTTCAGGGTCGGTAGAGTTTCGGGCGCTGAGTCGAATGGTGTTGGTCCCACGTGTCTCCGACAAAGCGTTCTCGAGATATTTCCGTTTGAAAAACTGAGTTTCGGGGGCTGCGCCATGACGTCATGCGGCCGCGCCACACCCTCCGCAACGTCATAGCGTGCAGCTAGGTCAAAAGGAGTGCGTGAAAGCAATGGTGTCAGTGCTATTTCAAATGATTTGGCGACTGATATTAGGTGGTGCAAGCGACCCCGAAGACCTAACTCCTTGTGAGAGTGAGGATGCAGCCATGGCTGACCTTCATGAGTTTGGTCTGGGGCTGAGAACCTCGGTATTCAGCTGAAGAAATGGCCGCGCGGGCCGGTCAAGAGTGAGCGCTACTGAGTTTCCGACTGATGAAGAAGCAGCAGCTATTGCAGACGAGGCTGATATAATTATCAGATCGCTGGAGAGCAGGGTCGCCAAAATGGAGAAGAGTGATGCGAGTGCTCTAAATGTTGTTCCATACCGATTCACTTAGACTCCAGTAGCCTGCCACATGGTGATGTTTTGGTGCGAACTTGGCATATTTCGGACTACTCAATTGGAGAACAGTGCAGGCTCTTTGAACCACGGGCACGACTCTTCGCTCGCAACGCTATGGAATCTGAAAGTTCTAGGTCCTGGAGCTGTTCGCTGTTTTGTCACTTGTCACGGTTGTGCACTCATCGCTGTAGCATAAAATAATGAGGCGGGACTGGAGCGGAAAACTAAAATTTTCTTTCTCAAAGCACAACCACCGGCACCGGCAAGGAGAAACGCACGTTCTCTGACTACATGACTGGACGACTGATGCGAGTGTAGTACATGTACAATCATGTAGATCTACATGACTAGTCCGTGTGTTGACTAGTTTTCTGAGTCTTGTGTCTCGAGTCTTGTTGTAGATACATGTACTAGCCCAGCACGGCAGTGCAGCTGGAGTAGTTCCGTGTGTGATGAGTTTGTTGACTGCACTACCACTGACTACAGCTAGCATGCACGCCGCGCATTGCTAGAGCCGTAGTCAGCAGAGGCCATTGCATGCTGACGGAAAAAGTCCAACTCGGAAACGGCTAAAATACGGTATAACCTCGAGGTTTAGCGAGCTGAAAATCACAGGGTACGTAGTGTTTGTAACACTGAATCGAATGGTCTTGGTCCGAAGAAGCTGCGACAAACGGTTCCCCAATCGAACGCGCTCCGAATATGGCCATTTCGTACACGACTAGATGGTGTGGCTACCTGGCTGCACGCTGTGACGTCATCACCTGGATCTGGGTGATGCGCGCTCAAATTCGCACATGTTCGATTGGGCGTATCTGACGAACTATAGGCCGCAGCCTCCTCGGACAAAGACCATTCGACTCAGCGACCCAAACTCTACGGACTGTGAAATTTAAATTTTTCACCGGACTTCCCCTTTAATTTAATAATAATAATATTAGTACACAGGTGTCGAAAATTATGTCTCCTGAGTGGCGAGAGTTTTACACTAAAACACAACTGGTTTAGATCCGGCTTTCAACCACCGCCAGCTCCCTGAGCTCGTTAGCTGGACGATGGTATGCCGACCGAGACCCACGGATACACATGACAGCGGACCGGAGCAGCATGAAAGACAGCCTGCAGCGCACATATGCAACATGGTGTGCATAGGGCATGCTGGAATCTGAGCCCTGGCAAGCAAGCCACAGAGGCGCTTTTAAAGAACCTTTCACATTCAGGGGAGGCAACACCAGAAGTTGAAAACACCAGCGGGCTGAATGTGCCACAATGCACATTGAGGATTCGCTCTCCGTACTGCAGCTTCTTCTGGCGCTCGTGCTGAAGCAGAAGGGCATCCAGTGGTTGGGCCGAGTAGGACGCCGCATCAGGATGGAAGACGTGAACGTCCAAAAGCCACGGGCACGGACATCAGCGCGGGCATCCTCGGCGGTGTTGCAGCAGTTAACACCTCTCCAGAGAGTGGGGCTAGCTGAGGCTCGATTGCCACTGCGAGGCAGACCTCCGTGAGTAGCTCCCTTACCATGTCACGGACTTCGTTATGGCGGATTGTAGGGAAGCCACCCCGGGGGCAACACATGGCATGAGCAGTGGAGAACAGAACTCTGCAGGCACACTTCGTGGGGACATCGAGGAGAGGCCAGTCAGGGCCGCAATGCAAGGCCGTCCCTGAACTCCTGCTTCGAGAGGTGGAAACCATGGTTCCTTGAGAGGAAGAGCAGTGAGCCAGGAAGAGGGGCCTTTGCGGGACAGCTCATCCATACGACGAGCCAAGGGGCGGTCCGCAGCTTCTCGGAGAGCAGCGAAAGAGGCAGCACTAGCTTTCTTGGAGGACTTGGCAGCAGATGCTCTCTCACATCGGGCTAGCTGATCCACAAAGTCGCAGGAATGATGCTGCCACTC